GGCCCGCCTACCCCCTGAGGGGAATCTGGCCAGGCTGGCCCTGCGGCCCACCTACTCCCTCAGGGGAACCTGCGCGGGCTGGCACCAGGGGTCCCTTCTCTCCCCTCAGGGAGACATGGCCAGGCTGACACCGGGTTCCCTCTGCCCCCTTAGGGGAACCTGTCCAGGCTGGCACCGGGGCCCTTCAGCCCTCTCGGGGGAAACGCAGGAGCATCCGGCTCTTTTGGGGAATTGGGGCTGTTTTGAAGGCTTGCCTGTAGCCTTGCTCAGAGGCACTGCACGAGGCCCAGCAGCACGGAGCCAGCCTGGCCAGTGCAGGGGGGCACCGAGCAGGCCACAAAATCTGTCACAGACAGGAGCCACTGGCCACAACAGCAAATGAGGGAGTCTTCCTCTCCCTGCAGGTCAGAGGGAGCACTGGATGTGCTCAGCAGCGTTCGATGCTCCTGGAAGGTGGAGGTGGAGATTGGAACAGCCTGGGAAGGGACTGGCTGCAGCAGGGGAAGGCTGGACACTACAGTGCTCAGTGTGACACGGAGCTGTGGCAGGCCTGCTCAATGCAGGTCAGAGGCTCTGGCCCCTCTGGTTGGAAGCACAGGTCACCTCAGGGGGGCTGGAGTCATGAGGGGCTGTGCTCAGCAGTGCCTCTGGAATTGAGAATCTCTCTTTGGTTCCCTTGTGGTTCACATGCCGCTTCCCAAGGAGCACGGAGAAACCCACCTCTGCCTTTAGTGTGCTTTGAGTAAGCCCAGCTCAGATCTGGTTCATTTTCTAGTGAGCGAATTTATTTTTCTTCACAGGCTGCATAACCCAGGAGTAGGTTCTAAGTTAGCTAGTTGGATAGCTGGTCACTGGTGCTTTGGTCCTGTAAACTTGTGGGGCAGTGAGTAGGGGATGCTGGGTTCAGGTGGCAGTGCTGGCTGCTGGTACATGCCAGGATCATTTTCTACAATCTGCAGTTGAGTACGTTTTGTAATTCCTGAGCCAGAGATGCTCACCTGCCTCTCCTATCATGTGTTTGGTTTTTTTAGTTTTGCATTTCTTTCTTGTTGTCTCTTATAATTCAAGGGAAAACATGCACTGCCTTTGGAGTGACTTTGTCTTTGTGTCAGATTTGTCTGCCCATGGTGTCGTTTTGCAGGTGCCAGGTATGGGACCCCTTTTGCCCCTTCCAACCCAAACCATTCTGGGGTTCTCTGAGGCTGTGGCTTTCCCTGCCACATGAGAACACCATGCCCAGAACATGGAACCACCCACTCTGTGACATCAGCCCCAGGGCTGCAGATGCCACAGGCAATGCAGCTGCTGCAGGCACTTGGGTCGGTGTCTACAGTGGAAGAAACAAGAGTTTGTTTTTTTCAGCTGACAGATGCTGCTGGCAGTGATGAATCTGCTGTACTTCTTCATCCTGCTGGCTGTGTACAGGCCTGCACATGCCACCTGGGACACCTGCCGGTATGGCCCCAGGCTCAGGGAGGGTGCTTTTCCCCCATTCCACACCCCAAACCCCGTGTGGGAGCCTCCTTGCCAGCACCCAGGTGCTGAGGAGACAGTGTAAGCAGCAGCAGCTGTTGGGCAGGGCAGTAATGACTCTCTGCTTCCAGAGGGACCTGTGGGCAACGGCCCATGGCTTCTGACTACGACTCCATAGCTGCTGACTACAGAATCATGGCTGGCACAGGTGCCCAGCCGGGTGCCTGGCCCTGGATTGTCAGCATCCAGGATCCCAGGAAAATAGGCACTGGCCATACGTGTGGAGGGTCCCTCATCAGCCCACAGTGGGTCCTCACAGCAGCCCACTGCTTCCTCCAGGCCAGGTAAGGGGGAGCAAGGAATGACACCACACAAACAGTTGCCCAGCCTTCAGCACCACATGCTGCTCCCCTCCTGTTTCCTTGCAGTGTGCCCAGTGTCTTGGCACTGCAGAGCCCAACTGAGACACTGCTCAGAAGGCTGGGCTCATGCCACTGCGGCCCAGCAGCCTCCATGTGGCATTTCTGGAGCCTAAGGCATGCTAGGGCAGTCATAATCCTCACTGCTCTGCTTTCCTCTCTGCCTTGGGAAGCAGAGGGCAGGGAAGTGCTGAGCTGCTACAGTGATGCCATTTGGGACAATGTAAAAACAGAGGCCAGACAAAATCAAGGGAATAAAAAGCAGTTCTGTTTATTGAAGGGCCTTCAGTTATATTTCAGCCAGACAAAGCCCCGCCCCCAGGGACTACACCAAAAAGTGGACGATGAGTCACAGATTTTCATACTTCTATAAGTTTGGTCCAGTTGCATATTGGGGGTTAATCTTCATTTACAGCTTCAGGTAATGAAATCATTTACCCCAAATTTGCTTACCACTCAAGTCACTCGTTTCCATCTCTCAGGGCCTGAGGCAGTGAGGTGTCCTTGATTCCCAGGCCTAAAGAGGAATTGTTTTGTCTGACCAAAATGGGAAATAAGCAGCTAACATTGTATATGGAGTTTAGAGTTACACACTAAAGAATCGCAGGATTACAAATATATGAAGAATATAAAAGCTAAAATCCTAAGGCATCAATAGCACATGATGTCAGAGGGGCTCTGCTCCCTCTCACCTCTCTCTGTGCCTTGCAGGAATGTCACCATGTGGCGTGTGCTGATTGGAGCCACCCAGCTGACCCATCTGGGCCCCGAGGCCCAGGTGCGCCACGTCAAGCGGCTCCTGGCTCACCAGCACTACACGGCTGATTCGCAGCAGAACGACATTGCCTTGCTGGAGCTGGACGAACCTGTGGAGTGCAGTGACTACATCCAGCTTGCCTGTGTGCCCAATGCCTCCCTCACAGTGTCAGAGCTAAAAACCTGTTATGTTGCTGGCTGGGGTTCTGCCAGTGCTAAAGGTGAGTTCCCAAAAAGGGCCTGTGCCCTGAGGGTGAGCTGGCCACACCAGAGAAATGGGCTGGGCTTCCTGACAGCAGAGGCCAAAGTCAGGTGTAGGATGTATGCCTCTGGAGAGTTGGGCTTGGCCTGCTCCCCAAAGGCAGACAGAAAGGACACAGCACTTCAACAGCTGCTCCAGAAGCAAAGCCAAGTCCTAGGGAGGGACTTCAGCCCCATACAGGGGAGTGGAACTGTAAATGAGCTGCTGGGAGCTTATTCCTTGCTGTGCTCACAGCCCAGCGTGTGAGTGATGTCCTGCAGGAAGCCAAGGTCCGTCTCCTGGATGTCCATCTCGTTAACAGCAGCCGCTGGTATGCTGGGGCCATCCACACCCACAACCTGTGTGCTGGCTACCCACGGGGTGGCATGGATACCTGCCAGGTAGGAGTGCTGGGAGCAGCCCAGCAGTAAAGGTACCCCATCACCACATGCTTTTCCTGGCAAATCACTTTTCCACCCCTGGGTACCCTCCTCTGGTGGAGTTTCCTTGCCAAGTGCCCATGTTCCCCAGGCCTCCCCCTCTGCCCAGAAAGCCCATCCAGTGCTCTCAGCAGCCCAGAGGTCCAGATTCTGGATCATCCATGCTTTGCCCATCCAGGATTACTGTGCAGATACAAGAGGGGGCCTTCATAGACACCCACCCTGTTCCCAGCTAAGGTACTGGAGACTCCAGCACCTGAGCAGAGCCGTTTTGTGCCAGGAACACAGCTGTGGCAGGGGCTGCAAGAGAGAAGCAAGCCTCTTGTGTTGACAGCAGCCACTCAACAGCACCCTAATCCTCTTTTCTCTTCTGCAGGGTGACAGTGGAGGGCCTCTGGTCTGCAAAGATAACAGTGACAGCCACTTCTGGCTTGTTGGAGTGACCAGCTGGGGAAAAGGCTGTGCCAGAGCAAAACGGCCAGGAGTCTACACCTCCACTCAGCACTTCTACAACTGGATTCTGGTCCAGATGGGCCTGTGCCCAGCTGTAAAAGCCACTCCAGCACCAGAGTCAACCTGCATCTCAACCCCTTTGGAGCAGCCAGAGCCAACACCAACACACTCAGGCTGCTCTACTCCCACTCCACATCCACAGACAACTGTAACAGCCACTCCAACGCCACAGCCAACCTTCAGCTCAACTCCCTCTAAGCAGCCAGAGCCAACACCAACAGAGTCAGGCTGCTCTACACCCACTCTTCACCCAACTGTGAAAGCCACACCAGCACCAGAGCCAGCCTTGACCTCAACCCCCTCTGAACAGCCAATGCCAACGCAATATCTCTTGCCTGCTCAACGACCATACCACATACTGGTGGAATTCTTAACTCAGGTGCACCAGATGCTGCAGGAACTCATGGGAAAAAAGCCATGAGCAGCAGGATGAACAGGATCCAGAGCAGGCTGCAATGAACAGTGACCATTTCATAGTGGGGCAGTGCCTGCTGATCCAAAGGCAATCTCAGGGTCAAAGGTGTCCTTTGTCCTGCCCATTGTCCTCCTCTGCATGAACACAAATGCTGAAATTGATTTAGTTGTGGAAATAAAGTTGCCTATTAACTAAGTTGCCTGTAACACTGTTAGCATGTGTTAGCAGTCCAGTTCAGTCTCCTGTGCAAGGCAAGGAGTCCCAAGCCGGGCACCAGCAAAACGAAGCCATGATGGGAGAAGGGAACACAGGTCATGGGGGGCTACAGCTCTTGAGGACAGTTGGGAACATTGTTGTATGCTACTCGTAAGTGGGATCCCTAGGTGTGGGACTTGAAAATGGACTCTCTCATGACTCAGGAGACACCATCCTAGAAAGACTCAAGGTTGAAGATTGGCCAGATACAGGCTGAGGAGGAGTTCCACAGCAGGAGTTCCACAGCCAGGAGCAAGGAGTTCTGAGCAGTGGGGAGACAGAAGAGCATTGTGGCACCTCCCATATTGTGATCCATCCTGAACTGTCTGCAGCTTCCCCGCAGAGACTGCTGGCACTGACTCCACATCTCTCAAACACATAATGAATATTTTGGCAAAGTGCCTCAATGTTTCCCTACACTGAGCATCTTTATCACTTTCTCTGAAGAAGCCACATCTCCATGCTAAGGCTGGAGAGCAAACGCTGGGTTATCTTCCAGGTAAAGTTAAAATATACCAGCATCTCCTCAGTGTCGAGTGTTTTCAGAGTCTTCTCATTCTGCTACTGAGGCTGTACATGCAAGGCTGAGATCTCTGTCACCCTGAGAAGGTCCATGTGCCATTCCAAAAGCTCTATACAGCACCATCTGTTCAAGAGCCAATCAGCTCCCCAAAGCAGAGCAAAGAAAGGCAAGAAAGGGGCAGGCAAGTCACAGTGGGGGATGGATAGGCAAGGCAAGGCAAGGGTGGTCAGGCAGGGCAAGGCAAGGAAAAAGAAGGGAGGGGTAGGCAAGGCAAGGCAAGGGAGGTTAAGGCAAAGATAGGCAAGGGAACTGTATGGAAGGCAGGTGAAGCATGGGTAGGGAAGGCAAGACAAAGAAAATTTTATCTGGAAACAAAAGAGAAGAAAACACTTGCTGTGTTTCACATTCACATTGAAGGATTTCAACAACACCATGAAAAAGAGCTATGAGCTTTTCTTTCAATGTACTGTCACATTCTTTCAATCATGCACAGCTTCTGAACCAAAATTAACTGTATCAAGTGTAAATACTGGTCACAAAATGCACCCTCTCAATAACCTATTGCTGTCTCTGCCTTTAACTCACATCCTGGAAAAAGCAGGACACCCCATGGAGTTGTGCACCTCCTGCTCAGATGCATGAACCATCACATCCTTTCACTCTTGCAGAGCCCAGATTCAAAAGTGGTACCTTCATTTTCCCCTTGCAGCTAACAAACTGCGTCACACATCAGTCTTACAGAGTGCATTACAAATTTAAGAACACTCAGCACATGGCCCCACAGAAAATGTTATAGAAGAAAGGGGCTTCCCTGGAATCCACCTTTAATTTTGCAGCCTATAAACTGCACAGCCAACAAATGACTCACCTGTGTTCCCAGCTCTATGCAGGATCAGTGTCCAAGAGCCAGGATCCAGAACTGAACTCCTTTCATTAACTACTCCCACAAGAACGGTGCCAGGAAAAAAAAATCTTGGCTTTTTCCTGGGCACTGTCAGCATCCATCAAAACAACCACATGATGGAGGTGTGGGCTTGCAAAAGAAGGAACACATGCAGCCCAGCTCAAAACCACCTCAAGGGAAGAGCCAAGTGGAAAATGTCCCTGCTCTCAAAGTAACTGTGTCAGGATACAAGGATTTCCCTGATCTTCCCCTTCCAAGTGAAAACTCCTATTTTCACCACACTGAAACAGCAACACAATCCCACTGCACTAATAGATGGGGCCTCATCTCCTGGAGCTTCTCCGCTGTCAACACACACATGCACATTCCAGTAAAGAATTCTTGAGACCCCAGGTGGATGTAATTTTATTTTATATTAATTTTGGCAGTTCTGGAGAGTAGGGAGAATCATCATCATTTAAGACTTTATGCTGTCATCTAAATACTCCATACAAATACAGCTGATAAATGAAAATACAGATTTTAGCACATATATATTGTTGAAATTCGTGTTGACAACAGATAAACAACAACAAACAGCACATCTTATCCCTGCATAAAATAGCATTTTCCAGTTTCACACTGAAGACAGATCAAAAGCAAGAAATAGAGAGCTCTGCAAGCCAAGCTATTCCTAGCTTGGATACATCACTTTACCATCAAGGAATGCTTTGCCAAACAACATGGCCACTGCCACCCCTTTAAATTTGACTGACTTTTGTCCATGTAACAAGAGCAGAATTTGATCCTTCTCTTAGAAAGTGCTTTGCTAATGCTCTGGTGATGAACACCCCACTGAACACTGTTTACAAAACAGCAGGGTGTGTTTATAATTACTACCAACCAGGAAAGGAAAAGCCTCTCTCACAGACAGAGGTGGATTGAGCTGAATAGCAATAAATATCAAATCTACCAAATTACTGAGTCATATATAAATGGAGAAGGCAAATGTACCAAAATGAAAATCAGCAACATCAAAAGACTACAATCCATTAGTAAAACTCTGAGATGTGTAATGATGGAGCATTATTTAGCATTTTGCCTTTATTTATTTACTTACAATGTCTCCAAACTGCAATTTCAGGTAGTTGCAGTATTAAACATGCCATGAAGCTGAGCTACCATCTGAAGTTTCCTTCACAGTGAGTGGTGATATGGTCATTAAAATTCAGCATGTGATCCACCAAATCAAATGCTGAGGTCTAATTTTGGACAGGATAAATGATCCTCATGTTTACAAGAGCTCATGTGGGTCAAATGACCCAAATGGTTATTGCACACTGCATCCTGTACCTGAATGATCATGGATGAGATGTTGGGAGCACAGAGGGAGTGTGCCACAGTCACTGGGAAAGAAGGATGCACCAGGAAGGTCTCTTTCCAACGGGGTCACTGAGAACTGGACTAGGACTGAGCAGTGTCACATTTTCCTCTTGTGTTCTGTACATCAGGAGCAGTCTGGGATCTGAGCTGCACAAAACCAGCTTTCAGCTGCTGTTACACCCTTCTAGGTTTCATCTCTGAACATTTCACTCTGTGATAAGCATCTGATCCTTGCTTTGTGAAAAATAAGCTGCACATATGGAAGACAGCGGAGATTTGCAATGAGCATGCTGATAAACATCATCAGGGTAGGAATCTCTTTGGCATGAGGGGTAACCTTCCTGCCCCTCAAAGTCCTGTTATGCTACCTAAATTGGATCTGTACAGAACAATTATACAGAAAGGATCATTCTTCCTGAAAGAAGCAAAGCCAAGTTGTGACTTTACTGTGGAACAACTCTTTCAGGGCAGCAGTCTCCAATGCATTTATCATCAACTCCTGTTTCTTCAGCTCTTAAAAGAAGTGATCAGGGTTCATTTTTCAAAGTTTGGCAGGAAAATTATCTTCCAATTTCACCTCCAGAGCACCCATACCTGGAAAATCCTTTTGTAACTCGAGCTCGCTGTTAGACTGAGTCAGAGCCTTGGCATTTATTTTTAAGGCTTTAAGCTGCATCCTGTTATCACTGTCTTCACCATCAGAGATGGGACTTATTTCTTGAATTTTCAAGAGATCTCCAGTACTGGAAGTCTTCTCTGTGTTACTGGAACTCATTCTCAGGGCTCTTGGTGGAAGGCCTTCCTTCCTCGAGCTGATCTTCTGAAGTTTAGCAGGGAGCTTGTTCTTCTCTCCTGTAATATCAGCACAGTCGAGCGGACAAGCCTGTTCTCTTCTGGTTTTCTTTTCAAAAGGGCTGTTCAAGAGAATTGACTGGGACAGGTTTTCTTCTTGCTCTTTAACACTGTAAGGAGGAGTGGGGACTTCGAACGTGGCGTGAAACTGAGAATAATCGACACGGAAAAAGCCATCTTCCAGAGACATTACTGGGAGGAACCTGTGACCCCAAAGGACTTCATCTTCTGTGTACGAGGTCCTGGCTTGGCACGTCATTCCTGTGGAAATGGACAGGAGAATGGCATTCCAATGTGAGCAAGGAAACTGCACATGGGACAAAAAATACATGACAAGGCTGACAGATAAAAATCAGTGGCAGCCAGAAAGCAAATAATTTTAGGGATTATAAAATGGGGAATTGTTCCTAGACAATCTTCTGACAGTCAACAGAGTGCCTCTAATTGACTGACTAGATTTTTAAGCAAATATTGCAGATTTGCAACCAAGCCAAAGCAAAATGTAAAATTAAAACAGTATTAGCTTGTGTGCTGGTTTCAACTGAGACAGCTTTCATTTTCTTCACCATGACTAGTACTGGAAGCCTACAATTAGGTCATCCCAAAGCTTCCCTTTTCCAGGCTGAACAATCCCAATTCAGCCTTGAAAGAATAAGTAATACTGTTTTTTGGGAGAAAGAACTATTGCTTGGCAGAGGTTTACAGAATCCTTTGGCAATGATCAGGTGTTGGAGGAGACAATGCCAAATAAAAAAGGTAATTTTGCATTTCTTCTGTAGGCTGTGTTACTTTTTCTCCCAACAGTATGTCAAGACAAAAGCTGTGCAGAGACACTGAAGCTCTTTCATGCTCAGACACAGGTGGCATTATAAAGTCATTGGAGATTTTGTTCCACTTAGTGCAAAATACATCATTAGTAGCATTTAAATGTGTGAACTCTCAGCTAAAATATGTTCTAGCCAAGCTGGAAAATCTGTTACCATCTCACCACAACAGCACCCACAGTCATTTATACAAATATCCCAGGTGAGCAGAACTTTAAGACTTCCTGTCATGGTAGTCTCCAGAGGCAGAATCAGAAGTCAGTAAGCCCAAATTCTGATTTGCTCTCTAGTTACTGCCACATGGATTCTCAAGTGTAAAATGTCTCCCTTTAAATATCCAGACAGGTAATTGCATTAAGGGAGGTGATGAATTCATGCTTATCTCACATAAATGCTTCAGTTGCAGGGTAAGATGCCATGCTTCTGCAGGGATGCCATGCCATCCTCTGCAGGGATCTAAAGATGCCATACTCAATGTGAAAGAGCATTCTGCCCCAGTGGATTGTGTATTTGTTTAGGGCCAGCCTAGTGGAGAGCAATCAGACAGGGATGACTGCACATGGCTGCACCAAAGGGACACCACTTCTCCAAGGCAGGCATGAGGTAGCTGCTAATCTTGCAGAAAGGACAAGAAAGCTCTCTGATTAATCAAAGTTTAACAAATCCTCAAAAGAAGGAAGAACATCAGAATGCTGATGAGCATACTGAATGATTTGGACTTTAATGGTACTCATGGATCATTGATGAAGAGCTCCTTGTATAACTGGAACCCATTTTCATGGGATTCATAAAAGAACTGAGTCCTCAAAACAAACCACCACAAGATCAGCTGTCATCTGGACAACACCATACCCAAATTTAAAAAAGAAACAAAACCCTTCTCATATTTGCCAATAACCATGTATGCCTACAACCTTTGTGACTATGAGGTCTGAATTTATGCTGTAAAACTGGATTTCTTATTCTGAATTCAATTCAGTGCAAATTAAGCTGAAAGGAATTTTGCAGCACTGGCAACTTTTAAGGTTCAACTTCCTTTCAGAGTGGTGGTCCTTAGAACAGAAGCCTCATAAGAGTGTTGAGCTGTTCCACAAAGACTGGCAGGCCGTGTTTCTTGCTGGCCACTTTGGGAATTGGCAATGCAGAGTCCTGTGGGGAAGGGAGGTCTCTATTGGCTGGGAAGAGCCACTGAAACTCTGCAGCATATGGCAGAATATGCTGGAGCATCCAGGACTAACAGCTGCCTTGCTAAAAATATCAGCACTGAAAACAAAGACTAAAAATCAGAGCATGCAGATATGTCTTACCGGTAGTCTCAACGATTCCTTCCAGGATGACAACTATTTCAAATTGCTCACTCCTCAGTGATCTTTGTGAGAGACAGAAAAAGGGGCTCTCTGAGTTAATTTCATGACAGATGGTTAAAGGGGAAACTAAAAACAGCTGATCAGCCCCAGTTCCAAATCCAACATCCAGTTCACACTGGTCTAGTGGCAGAAATTCTCCCTCTGGTGTCTGTCTGGACTAAAGAGAAAAAGATGATTTAGTAATCACTGTGTGAGGCAAAACATAAAATCAATGCAATAAAATTTAAACCTGCCTCTTCAAACACATTATCAGCTACATGTATTAGGTCTGCAGGCTTCATAATGGAGATGTAAGTAATGCTAAATACTGTGAGGCTGCTGGTCAAGACCAATTTTGACTTTTCTTATTATGCCAGTAGATCTCATCACCACCTACAGACTTTACTGTGACACACACACACACATAAATATATAAATATATATATTTATACACTTACGAAAATGTCATGTACCACACACTACATGCCTTGTAATGGATGCTCAACATGAATATCCTGTGGCAAAAGTTCCTGTTAACGAGATCAAACTCTGCAAGCCGGGCACATTTTATTCTGTTGTTTGAATTCACGTTCCATTAGTTTTGTATGTTACTAAGTTTTGTTTGGCAGACACTGTGATGTATTAACTCAAAGGTAAACACCACAGCAATTGTACAGCACATCTGGTAAGTGGCATTTTCACAAAACCACCTGAATTTATACTGATGATGCTATCATCCCTTGCATGTACCACCTACTGCATATTATCCTTAACAATTATTATTAAGCTGAGTGCCTCATTTTCTTCCCATCATTTCATGGGTCTAATAAAAATACTGATATGGTAGCTTCTCTCTACCCCATAGGGGTCCTGGTATTCAAATTTTCCTGGTATTCAAAGTCTAACTAAAAGTTACATCAGTTGGCCAGGCAGCTCCTCACCTGATTGCTTTGAAGGTCTCTAGTGGAAATTACCCACCAAAATCAGAAGCTGTATAAAATTAGCAGCTGATATAAATCCTATTTAAAATCTTTTCTTCTTATTGTTTGATTAAAAAGCACTTAACTCTTCAAGAAGATGACTACTGATTATAAAGAAGTACATATTATTATAAGTTATACTATCATAAATGAATAAATAAACAGTTTTAATTGTGTTTGTGCATTTGTATTGACAAATGTACTGGTTCCACTGCTTGGAAACATTGTTCACTGAAAGCAAGCCAAAGGCAGGAGGTTTTGCCATCAACTTGGATCTGTGTTCTTTTAAGAAAGTTTCTGTCTTTAAAGAAAATCCCCAAGCAAATAGTCTATCTTCATATTGTCCTCACATGTACCTTAGAAATGCTGACTTTGTAACTGTCTGATATTTACTGGAGATTACAAAACCAGCTAGGCAGCAGCTGGAGTACAGCTCATTATTAAATACTATCCAGGATTTCATCTATGTGCTACATGTTTGTTTTGCCACTGAGGAAGAAAAATCCTTATTGTCTAAATAACAAAGTTCTCCCCTGCACAGGAGGACAAGAGTCAATTTCTCCTTTACTGATGAAGACAAATACCAGCTGATTGTGTGTGAAAGCATTTTCACAAATTATTTATGATTTGAAACATAAAAGTGCTGTGAGATAAAAGCCATCAACACTGCTGCTACGTACCAGTCATGACAGTCTCTGTTATATGCAAAGGTGGAATCAGCCTCCTACAAAACCATCTTTTCTCTTTTCCTGAGGCAAGCTGCAGAGCTAAGCTGCAGACTACAGCACTGCTTTTGTTGCCTGGCTGCTGCTCTTGCAGTGGGTGCACAAACTGATTGCCCAGGTATGATCTTTGCTCCAAAGCTGTATGAACCAACATCTAAATCTCAAATTGTCCCAAAGCTTCATCAAATACATTTACCTAGACAAAAAATGTGCACTTTTGCACAAGCTGTTGCCTGACTGACTGAAGAACTGTTTGATCTACACACCATTTTTCTTTGTGGAAGAGTCTTCGATCAAATCCATTCAATAGTAAACAAATCCAGCGAGGATGATTAGAGGGAACAGATCTGGGAGAAAGCAGAAGGTTGTGTTTGAGGTATTCAGTAGCTTACATACAGGATTGATTTATGCAGGGCATGGAGGATTTTTTAAAAAATTGTTTGTTGAATAAAAAATAAGTTAACCTGAATGAAGAGAGCTTAATAGCCCCAATAGGTTCAGCCTCCTAGCCAGTGACCTTTGTTTTACATATACAGCTTTACTCAAAGGATCACAAAACAAGACAGAAAACTATAAAATAACTCTGGAAAGAACATTTGTGATTCTTTGTTTTGACCATCCACATAACACAAAGAAAAGTAAAGTTCACAAGAATAATACATGTTGAACAAGGGCACAATTACACGCCCTAGCTTGCAATTTAAATGTGGTCAGATGGATAATCTATGAAGGAATCAGAGAATTTCTCCAAAAGATAAATTTTCACATCTAAGGAGGAAAAAAAAAAAAATCTTGTGTCTTTAACTTTCTGCCACTGGATCTTTGTTTTGTTTTTTATTACAAGGCAAACTTCCACTGCATCACCACTTAGTCTATTTTAGTGTCTGAACAAATACATCATGCTCTTCAAATATTCACTCCTATCCTTTATTCATTCTCTTTGTTTTTCTAAACCTGATTTGTGCATAAACATGCATATTTCCCTTTAACTGGACTTGATGCAATTATATTATTATTAACCCTCTGTCCATTCACTCATTAGGGAACTCACATAATTATGTTTTGATATCCAGGTGGACTAATTAAGCACTGCAGCAGAAAAAGTTGGATTCAAAAGATGCAGCACCATCAAGCTTAACACTGCAGCACATTGTAGAGAAATGTATAAATCTAGAAAATGCTAAACATGCTCATTGCTCCTCCCCCACTCAGACTATCAGCTTGCAAGAAGTGTTTTTATATTTTTTATTACTGGAATAATATGATCTTGTTACTTTGATATGATTGTTGAAGATTTGTGTGGAGTTTTTCAGCTGTGACACTATACCTGGAGCTCTACCATACATAATTCCTAGCATCACTGCTACTTTTTATTTTAGTCTGGTTGCCCCATACTGTAAATATGACCTGTGTGAGCTGGGCTTGTTCAGAACAGAGAAAAGGAGGCGTAGAGGGGATCTAACAGAAACATTTCAAAACCTGAGAGGAACCTGATCAAGAAGACAGAACCAGGCTTTTCACAGAGGTACCTGACAGAAATGAGAGACAACAGGTATAAACTTAAACAAGGGAAGTTTGGATCGGGTTGGATTGAAGAAAAACATTTTCATCATGAGGACAGTTAAGCAGCAGAAAAGCTTGCCCAGAAAGGCTGTGAGGGTTTTTTTTCCCTAGAGATTTCCAAAACCATAATGGAAAAAGCCCAGAGTAACCTGGTCTGATCTCCTAGCTCACCATACTTTCAGCAGAAGGTTGGACCACAAACTTCCTCAAGTTCCTTCCAATCTGAACAATTCTGTAATATTAAAAAAATTATTTTTTTGCACTTTCTGCCCTACTTATCAGCTTAGTGAAATCACAATATAATGGGTCTTCTTACTTATTTCCAGTCCCTGTCACCTGCCATCTCCAAACTTCCTGTTACAATTTTTTTTTTGCTTATTCAAAGCTGTTAATAAGCACAGCCTAAAGAACAGGTGCCTGCTGGTTCTAACCCAAAGCTCACTGCCTCTGGGGCTATCATGCTTCACAACTGTATTCTTAAAACTATTGTTAGCACCTGTTAAAAACAGGCTATGATGATTTTACATTCCTCAACTTTCTGAATCAAAATGTCCTATACTAGCGGAAACACTGTATAGATTACTTTACACACCAACACTATCCTGTTTATCAGTGACATATGCAATCACATTAAGAGAAGGTACAAATATGTATTGTGATTGAGTTTTATAAAAGCAATATTGATTGCCATACCGGTGGCCGCTGCCTTAGGCACACTATAAAGGTCCAGGAATCAACAGGCAGAAAAATACAGTTCACTGTGACATTAAAAAGTCCAGGACCTGAAGTAGCACATTTTCAGAAGCTAATTCCAAATAGTTTTGTTGGTTTTTTTTCTATTTCTTGCCCCAGGATTTTGGTTTTTCCAGCTTCTCTAGCACTCAATGTAAACTAGAAAGACTTGGGTTTCTGGAAAAGATTTTGCTGAAACACACACAATCTTGTAACTTTTCCAAACTCCTCACAACTCAGTCCAAAAAGAGCCTCAGACTTTTGCATGATATCCCTTTGCCATGCTGCTGCACAGCCCCTGGACCCAAAGAAAAGGCAGCCCAGTGTGGCAGCACCATTGTGTTCTACTGAATGTATCAGGGCATGAATCACACTGTGAGTAAATGCTATTCAGAAAAACTCAGTGTACTTTACAAAGGTAAATCCTCAGAGCTCCACTGGTCTGAGCAAAACACCCCATTCACTACTAAATAGATCTCCTAGCTCAAGTACAAAAACGTGATGTGTTTCTTCACTGTGACACCAGTACAAAAGACAATTCTGGCTACCTGGTCAGGTGCAGGAGAAGTGTAGCAAGGTCAGCTGCTAGAAGCACTGCAGGGAAGTACAGAGACCAAAGCCCAAACCACAAAAAGGATTTGCTGTAGACAGCAAGTAAATTTTGGCACATTCACTGGAAGTTTACAGGACACACAAAGCTACTCCAAAGCAGCTGATAGAAATCACCAAAGGCTCCTAGAATGGTGTGTCCAGTTCAGTGACAAGGATTTACAGAAAGACACAGGAACTAATACCACGCCTTTCAGTGAGGACTGAGGGGGCAGCTACTGCACTTTCAATTTTAAATCTTCTTCTGTTCATACCTTGTGTTTGTCAAAGGTCACAAAACATCTTGAAATACAACACATGGACATGATGATCATACAAAAAAAAAAAAATCAAGAATTTGCTCACTGACTTATTGTCTGGCTTACAAAACAGCTATCCTAAGACACAATGGTCATGCAGGTCCCTCAAATGTCCTTCAGTTTTCTGTCCCAATCATCTGATTACCAGCATTGTGTGGCAATAGAATTGTCAGCAGAAAGGACATCAGGTTGTGTATTTGGTGTCTTATTTCAAAAGAAAATTAGTTGCCTTCTCTGTAAAAGCAGAAGGTGACCCCACTTTTATTCCACTTTGATCTACATTCCATTTTGAATGATAGACTTAAATATTTAGATTAGAGGAGATTTCTGCTAGAAAACAACAAAAACTGTGATTCAGCTGGCTTTCCAATTCCTACAAAAATTGCTCCAGTATAATTCCTCACAGCTTGTTCCCATATATATATATATATATATATATATATATATATATACACACAATTTATTTTTAAATCTTAGCAAATTCTCCATTTTAAGTGTTATTCTGTAGCAAGGAAAGTTAACAGCTCAGTCTGGCATTCGGCACAGAACAGAAGGAAAAGAACCTTTCACATTTACCTACTGCTTCATGCTTGTTTATGGAGATTATTAAAAAGGCCAGAGAGAATTACCAGACAGAGAACAGAACATTTATAACAGTCAAATATGATATCCTGAAATGAATGTCATCACTGGGATCCAGCTTCTAACAGCTGAGGAGTTTCACAGATCTCAGCAAGCATAAACTCCTGACAAGTCACAGCTGCTGTGAGATTGCTTAGTCTTGTTCAGTGTTTTCCTTCATTCTACTCCAGCCCAATTTATCTTCTGGACTTTTGTGACTGCCAAACTCTTTGGTCCTGATAAATTTTTTTGGTTGGTTGTTTTGGGTTTTTTTTTGTTTTGATTTTTGTTTAATTTTTGTTTGTTTATTTTGTTTTGGTGGGCGAGTTTATTTTGTTTTTGTTTTGGGGGGATTGCTGTTTTGGGTTTTGGGGTTTTTTTTATGATCTCCCTTGAATTCCAATTTTCTTGCATTCTGAATTATACTGGCCATTGTCAGTGATTAATAAACAGATACTGGTGACAACCAAAGGGTGTTTCCACTGAAGCATCTATACAATCTCTCTGAAATGCTGTGAGGTCACTAGCTGGAACACTGGGATAAGGGACTGCAAGTTAAAGCTCACCAAGTTCCCCAAGAAGAGGAGATCAAGGTTGACCTTTATCCTAGTTTAATACCACCACAATTCCTTATTCCCAGCCATCATCTATAAAGCAGCACGCCTTAGCACCCCTCCTTGCAGCTGTCCTGCATCCTGACACAGGCATCCATCCCGAGCAAAGCGGCTTTCTGCCAGCCTCACAATCCACTGAAATTCCCCTGGGAGCGCATTTCAGTCTGATCAGACGCTTTTCCCCTACGCCTGCTTGGCTCTTTCATGGCTCCTGCTGCGGACAGCTCCTCCAAAACCTTCCACGGTCTTTCACAGCGCTCCTCACTCACATCCTCTCACCCTGCCGGGCCGGGCAGAGCTGCAGCAGCAGCAGCAGCAGCAGCAGCAGCAGCAGCAGCAGCAGCAGCAGCAGCAGCAGCAGCAGCAGGGGGAAGCTCCCCGCCAGCTGTGCCCACCCCTGCCCGTGTCACCTGTGCCACCCAGTGTCACCAGGCTCACCTTGATCAGCTTGCAGCGGATCTGGGCGGACACCATGTGGCTGTTGCGGAGGTTGCCCACACGAAACATGAGGCAGAGCTTGGCATCCCGCTGCGAGATGACGGCGGCACGGCTGAACATGAGGGTCTCAGCTCGCTTCTTGGGCTGCGACATCTTGATGAACATGCAGCCGATGAGGAACGCATCGACCACGGAGCCCAGCAGCGACTGGAAGAGGAACAGCACGATGCCCTCGGGACAGCGCTCCGTAATGTAGCGGTGCCCGTAGCCGATGGTGGCCTCGGTCTCTACGAAGAAGAGGAAGGCGGAAGGGAAGTTGTACACGTTGGCCACACACGGGCTGTAGGTGTCACCGTGCGCCTGGTGCAGGTCACCGCGCAGGTAGGCGATGCCCCACCACATGGAGGCCATCACCAGCCAGGCCACCGTGTAGGTCAGCAGGAAGATGAGCAGGTTCCAGCGCCACTTGAGGTCCACCAGCGTGGTGAAGAAGTCGGAGAGGTAGCGGCTGCTCTCGCCGCCCAGGTTCCCGTGCTGCACATTGCAGCGCCCGTTCTTGTCCACGAAGCGCTGCCGCTCTCTGCGGGCGCTGCAGCGAGCGAGGCCCACGGCCTGGT